TACGAACAGCACCTGTTGTGAGCCATGCCAGATGGCTTGGAGACTAGATTGGCTTAGGGCAACTGGTCTGTATAAATATAGAGGGTCTGTGATTCAGAGTCCTGATAGTTCTGGCTTCTGCTTCTTGCTACCACATTGCAAGAGCTGCATGGGTATTGTATACATGCATCCTGTTTCATATTGTATATAAACAAGTTTCTTCTATAAATGAATCCTGCTTGATTATTTACTTGTGTGCTGGTTGGATTGCTGCAAAGTCTTGACAGTAGTATTAGAAGCTTTAATTTTATACTACTGCAGCCATCACCTTGACTTTAATAATGACCATGCCTTATAGACACTCTTGTATAAAAGTGAAAGTGGGCTCTATTATTGCCTCCATAAGCTGTCCTACAACGTGTGCTCCCAAATTCTGTCCATGTTGAAAAATAAAGACCAGGATGAGAGTGAATTTAATATTAATAAGAGCTTCACTTTTATCCTCCTGTCCCATAAAAAGCAACATGAACAGTTCCTTAAATCCCCAAGGGTCTACAAAATGAAAGAATTTTTACTGCTTTCTAAGCGATAGCAAAGCAGGTGCAACCAGAACACCTGGAAAAAAGCTGTTCAAGAGATGCAGCAATCGTTTTCAGGCTCTCTATCTTTCTTGGAGGGTGGATTCTGAACATTATCTCCTGGATCACATGCCCGGATAGGCAAATTCAATTGAAAATAGATGGTCTTGAAGATACTAATAAAAGCTAAAAGCAATTGAAGTACAATGCAGGAAAAGATAACTTTTGTCTGATGTGGGCAACAGAAGCAATGCCAGTACGACACAAATTTTTAAGAACAATGTTGTCTTACTTTGTTTCTTTCATACCAGCCAATGCTTTGCATTTTTGAAAAGGCCTGGGATCGTTTCACAACAAAATAAATGAGATAGCCCCTTCCACATAATCAACATATTATAAGTACATTGGCCCAAATCCTCAGAAATCTTTTTCGATGGATGTTTTCATCTTTGTTGCTTTCTTGCTCATCCACAAATTGACTCCTTCATAAATGTAGGAAACAATGGGAATAATTATTCAGAGTGTAACCCTATGCAAATGCTGCAGGAAATAATTCACATTATATTCAGACTTACAAATTTTCAGGATGTGCAAGCCACTGTCTATGAAAACACACACATTCATTTGCAAAACAAATACAGTTGTGATTTTTCATCAAAGAGTGCTATTTTTAATAATATATATTGTATTGTGTCAACTGGATAATACTTTTTATAATCATTTAAATGCTTTTTATAATCAGCTATAAATAGCTACCCTGTTTCTCCAACAATACGGCCTCCCCCAATAGGAAGTCCCAGCATGTTTGATAGGCATGAAATGAAGCCCCTCCCCCCAAATTAAGGCCTATATTAAAACATGCGAAATGGGGGGAATGGTGGGGGGGCTTGTCGTTAGGAAGTACTTTTGTTGCACACCCGGATATGGTGCTGCCTGCGTTGACCCCGATATGAAGTGCCCCACCAACGCCGAGGTCAACATCCAAGCTGTTGCCGCCCGCCCGCCCGAAGATGCAAGGGGGGGGAATTAAGTCATCCCCGAAAAGACAACCTAGCCATTGGGGGGGGGGGGGGGGGCTCAAAAAAAATAAGACCCGGCCTTATTATATGAGAAACACGGCTTTTATATTCTATGGCTCCTTTCTTGTTACAATCTTTTAATAAAGATGAATGTAGTGATATACAAAAACTGAATTTGATTATTTTGATTACAAATGAACAAAAGAAGGTGAAGATTGCTGGGTCTGGTTCTTCCGTCTACTTAGATGTATGTTTCTTCTTTAGAAAAGGGATAATGAGGATGAAATTTATGCAACTGCTTCCTCCTAAGATCCACATTACTCAATTTCTAGGTTTTCTTGATTTAGCAAGAATGCTACTCTGTAGGAAAGGTGCTGCCACTGAGAAGGCACAATTCCACAATCCAACAGGATAACATTGTTTAATAGAAGGAACCTGGATATACCTTCTCTACTAAATTTGACGGCAGAAACAATAAGAGAAAGTGTGATGACCCAGGGTGGGATACTAAAGCAACAAAGTCACAAAAACAGGTGAATTATCATTGACTGGAGAAAAAACTCCCCCACTAAACAGTTGCGAAAAGGACGAAATTCCATTCAAACTCAAAATACATATAAATTATAAATAGAAAAAAAAGCAACACAAACCACACTGAAGAATTAATGAGACAAGGCAGGGCTTGAAGACATCCACAGATATCGAAATACACACATTGGGAAGGACGCCAGAACTCAGATAAGAACTGACAGACCAGAAATATTTTCATGTTTTGCTTCCAGCGCTGGCCCATGCGCAGTTTGTCCTTTTAACCAGTCCTCAGAGCTGCAGCCCATGAAGGGAATCAAGGCCCTTTCCTCCCCGGTAGACCATACCATTCATGTTTCTCCCTTATCCTCTCCTCCCTGCGTGCCCTAGGATGGAGAGGGGATGGGCCTGGGTCTTCCTCTGAATGCCCAGCCGGCCTGTGCCCTTCCCGTTTCCTCCACAACCTCTGGTGTCGGTTGTTCCTCCTCTCCCTCGGAGTCAGATTCTAACAGGGGCATGACAGAAAGATGACGCTATAAGGTAAAGGTAAAGGTTCCCCTGGCACATACGTGCTAGTCATTTCCTGCTCTAGGGGGCGGTGCTCATCTCCATTTCAAAGCCAAAGAGCCAGCGCTGTCCGAAGACGTCTCCGTGGCCATGTGGCCGGCATGAATAAACGCCGAAGGCGCACGGAATGCTGTTACCTTCCCACCAAAGGGGTCCCTATTTTTCTACTTGCATTTTTTACATGCTTTCAAACTGCTAGGTTGACAGAAGCTGGGACAAGTAACAGGATCTCATCCATTATGCGGGATTCGAACTGCTGAACTGCCGGCCTTTCTGATCGACAAGCTCAGCATCTTAGCCACTGAGCCACCTGCTATAAGTAGCCTGGCCCTAGGCCATGGATGGCTTTATAGATAATGACCGGCACCTTGAATCATACCCACAAGTCTATTAAGAGTCAGTGCAGTGGTGATGTTACATAGGCATAACAAGAAATACCAAAAAATGCTAATGCTGTAGCATTCTGGACCAGCTGTAGCTCCTAATTGCTCTAATCTATTCATTTCTGCACATTCCAATATTTTTTCTAATCGCATTTTCATCAGTAGGAATCTCTTCGCTTTTCCAATTTTGAGCAAATACAATTCCAGCTGCAGTTAATGATCAAATATACTTTCTCTTTACTGTAAGTTTCAGCAAATATTTCTAAAGGCAGTATTAAATGTGAGCCCCATTGCATCATTAAAATGGTAAAATAATAAATAAAATAATAAAAAGTATTTTTTTCATACAAGATCACCCAACTTTCTTTCTTACTTACTTTTTTTTAACCCAATAGTTGCTTTTCTTCTTCTTCAGTTTCAAGTATTTCTTAGGTCCCTGTGCAAAAGCTTTGAATAGCAACTAGAGAAAACTGATTTATGTCAAGACAGTTATTTGAATATATCCAAGTGTTGCTAGACACCAAGTACAACAAAACTAATGTTAATTTTTAACGGGCTTTAAGCTATTTGTTACCTATGACCGAATATGTCTGAAAACTTTGTTAGTAACTGTTATATAATACATTTTGCTCCAGTGGGGAACATACATTTCAAAGAACGTCCAATGCATTCTTGAAAATGGTCGTTCAGTTTTATATACAAACTGTACAAACAAGGTAACTTTTGATCTTATTTGGGTCTATGTTAGTAGAAATATTAAATTAGGGATGATCCCCTACTGTTTTCAAGTCACAATCTCTGAAATGATTTCAATGTAAAAGCCAAGTATATTGCAGTTTTAAATTTCTGTTACTGATATTCTAAAAGCAAACCAACTCTATTTTCAAATAGTCCTGAAAGCACGGAAGCTAAGAATGGAAAACCAAAGATTTGCCGGGAATATAATATTGCTATTAAACGTTTTAATTGCACTAAGAAATCTTGTTGCATGAGCGCTGAAATAAGGCGGCAGAGGGTCACCTCGTTTGACCTCAGCTGGGAACATGTGGTTGGGTGACCTGATTTTTTTTTTTCACTGTTCTGCGCATGTCTGCAAACGACCGTGTAGATGAAATTCACAAATACGGTATCTGAGAATAACGAGGATCGAACATACCACTAACGCTACAGTTTTAGAATTAATCTGCCGTTGTAGAAGAGTAAGCAGTGCCTGGCGGAAGGAGTCAAGGGAGGACTTAGCCTAGAATTGTTACGGTTGTCCTGATCCTGACCCTAATTCCCACACCTCATCTGATTCAGTTGTTGGAGGGACAAACTTTGTGGGCTTGAGTGATAAATCTTCTGCGAACTGGGACTTATATGTGATACCGATTTTTCATGCCTCACAGCCTTGGTATTTTACACTTAAACTCTCCTCACAACCCAGCAGTCACTAAAACCGTGATGGCGAACCTATGGCATGCATGCCACAAGTGGCACGCAGAGCCATTTGTGCTGGCACGCAAGCCACAGGCAAACTTACCTCACTGCACATGCGTGCTTTTTTCCCCCGGTTGGTATGAGGCCTTTTTCAGCCACCCAGAGGCTTGGAAAAAGCCTTTGCAAGGCTTTTCAGGACGAATTATAGGCCCTTTCGTCACTTCCTGTAATATTGGAAGTGACAAAACAGGCCTATAATTCTTCCTGAAAAGCCTTGCAGAGGCTTTTTCCAAGCCACTGGGAGGCCAAAAAAGGCTTCAAACCAGCCAAAAAAACAGCTGTGAGCGCAGCGCAGGTAAGGGGGTGGTGGGAGAGGGGGGAGATTGTGCGCGCATGCGCAGGGGGCCTGGGGAGGGGCGTGCACATTGCATTCTGGGTGAGTGCATGTGTGCTGATGCGCACGCAATTTTTGGCACAGGAGCCCAAAAAGGTTAGCCACCACTGTGCTAAAACTTACAAAGACATCGTTAAGGAATTACCGCATTTATTTTTCTTGGGAAAGGATTCATGACAATACGCTTGTTTGTAAGGTACACTGAACTGCCTTTGACCCGCGATTTAAAAAATACTGTATTTACATGACCCCATAAAGGGGGGAAAAAAGAAATCCAGCAAACTAAAATATCAACGCTTGAGGAGTAGGTGGGTGGAAGAAGAGAAATATTCTGTACATTTTACACCCGAGACATTGTTTGGAAAAAAACAACGATCTCTAAAAATTGCTTTTAGAGTCAGTCTTGTAAAGGAATTCTTTTTTAAACAGTTCCATATTTTCCCAGCGTCCTTTTGTTTCTTGTCTTGTTGACAATGCAGCCAGGATGTTAGTGATCGCTCAGCCTCTGTCGAAAGTTTCGAGATTTCCCGTTTTCAAATTTCCGTTTTCTGAAAACCGGCATCTCTTCCGTTGCCTCGCCGAGCGAAGTGACTGTTTTCTCTTTGAAGATTACTTTGGCATCTTCTGGCACTTCTACAACTGGGGCGCTGTTGCTCTCCTTGTTTGGAAGCTCCAAGTCGACCTTCTCGCTAAAGGAAAATGAGAAGTTGGTTGAACAAAAGCTATTTGAAAATAAATAAAACTGGCTCAGGTACGAACTGGCCTGGCCGTACAAAAAAGGCATTTAACTCAGTATCTCCTGAAAACAGAAAGATTTGCGACCAGCAAATTTCACAAATTTTAGAACCTGCAGAGAGAAGTTTGCATAGCTCTAGCTATTAATAATGGCAGATATCAGAAGGTGGGGGAGTTATTTTGGACACAAAATTTATTTATCACATTTAGAGACCGCCTATCTCCCTCCCACGAGTCACTCTGGGTGGTGTACAAAGTTATCTTGCTCAATAAAAAAGTTATCTTCTCGCATAAAAAGGTTCTCACTGAACGACGAGAACGAAATCCTGCCCGTTATCTGCCGTTGCGCATAAAATGAGGACTCCTGTTTTCCCCTCTCGTTCTGCCCAGAGATTTAAAATCTCTGAAGTATGGCACACGAGCAGGTGTGGGTAAAAGAAGTCAGTGAAAAGAACCAAACTTACTTATAAAAAAAATAAAATAAAATGGGAATTTGCTTTTAACATCCTGTGTCATTAAAGTGAAATTAAGTCCAGATGGATGTCAAACCTTCGGATGAGTAAATCAGTCTGAAGCGTAGGTCTGAAGTGTGTTTTAAGTGTCTGTTTCCTCCATCTAATGCCCTACTCTCCCAAATTTTCAGATGTTTTTTACTTTAATCTCTCTCAATAGTTTATATGTCTGTGTTTATAAGATAGGTCATTGTCAATCCATCCACCATCTGTCTATCATTATCTATCTATCATCTGACTATCTCTATCTCTTATATATCATCTATTTCTATCATCTATCTCTATCAGCTGTTTACCTCTATTATCTATCACTCTCTATCTGTCTATCCCTACCATCTATCTATTTCATCTCTCTCTCCTCTCTCTCATCTGTCTATCTCTTATCATCTATCTCTATTATCTATCACTGTCTATCTATCTATCCCGCTGTGCCCACCTACTAAGCAAGTTCCTTGCAGGGACAAAAATGTCTTCAGCCACCTCACTTCATACTGTAACTATTAACCAGGAACCAGGGAGAAAAAGAAAAAGAAAAAGAAATGCAACGTAATTCAGACACTGGGCTTATTCTCAGTGTCCTGCTGCCCAAATCAAGTGGTCGCTGGCTTCCCGGGAGATATAAAGCAGGACGTACAATGAATCTTCTTCCGTGATTTCCTCCCATTTGCCGAAAGAGACGGGCTTCTGAGACAAAGACGAGGAGGTTTCTGGTGGAACGGATGACTTCTTCTTGCGGCTGGACTTCTCGGGTTTCACCTGTTGCCCCTCGGGGTTCACCTGCTGCCACTCGCCGTAAGGGCTCACCTTTCTGGGTCTGTTAGGCTTCCTCTGAGGAACAAGAGAGGGAACATCCTGTTTATGCAATGATGTAACAATAGAATAAAATAGAAGAGAAGAATAGCAGAGTTGGGAGGGACCTTGAAGGTCTTCTAGTCCAACCCACTGCTCAGGCAGGAAACCCTACACCGGTGATGGCTAAGCCCTTTTGGGCTCCTGTGCCAAAAATTGTGCGCGCGCTTGCGTGCCAGCACCGAGTATGCAATGCATGCGGACAACCCCCCCATGTCCCCTGCGCATGCACGCGCAATCCCCCCCGCCGCCGCCCCCTTTCCTGCACTGAGCCTCCCAGCTGATTTTCGGTCCGTTTGAGGCCTTTTTCGGCTTGCTAGAGGCTTGAGGTAAGCCTCTGCAGGATGAAAAATAGGCCCATTTCATCACTTCCGGTATTTCTGGAAATACAGGAAGTGATGAAATGGGCCTATTTTTCGGCCTGCAAAGACTGCAGAGGCTTCCCTCAAACCTCTGGCAGGCCAAAAAAGGCCTCAAACGGGCCGAAAATCAGCTGGGAGCCACGCGCATGTGCAGCGAGGTAAATTTGCCTGGGGCTCGTGTGCAGGCACAAATAGCTTTGCGTGCCACCTGTAGCGCCATCACGGCCCTATACCATGTCAGAGAAATGGTTGTCCAACCTCTTCTTAAAAACATCCAGAGTTGGGGCATTCATAATTTCTGGAGGCAATCAAGTTCCATTGATTAATTGTTCTCGCTGTCAAGAAATTTCTCCTTAGTTCTAAGTTGCTTCTCTCCTTGTTTCCATCCGTTGCTTCTTGTCCTGCCCTCACGTGCTTTGTAGAATAGCTTGACTCCCTCTTCTTTGGGGCAGCCCCTGAGATATTGGAAGACTGCTATCACGTCTCCCCTAGTCCTTCTTTTCATCAAACTAGACATACCCAGTTCCAGCAACGGTTCTTCATGTGTTTTGAGCCTCCAGTCCCCCTAATCACCTTGGTTGCTCTTCTCTGCACTCTTTCTATAGAGCCTCAACATCGTTTTTACATCATGGCGATCAAAACTGGATGCAGGATTCCAAGCGTGGCCTTACCAAGGCCTTATAAAGTGGTGTTAACACTTCACGTGATCTTGATTCTATCGCTCTGTGAATGCAGCCTAGAACTGTGTTGGCTTCTTTAGCAGCTGTAGCACATGGCTGGCTCATATTTTCTGTAAGAGATTGTCCACTAGGACAATAATATTATATTCTTCAAAGAAGAAAAAAAGGATCCCAAGTTAAGATATTTGGATTTTTATATTCAGTGAGTATACAATCTTGGAGATAAGAAAATCAATTTTTCAACCACTCCCTTGAATTTATTCAAGCTTCTCTCCCTAATTTTACTGATACAATTTGCAGTATTTTCTTCTTAGTAATAGCTACTAATGATAACTATAAGCTGTGTGTCTTTATGCCTCTAACTGCAATCTACAGTTAGTAGCTATACGAATGGTAACTAGGCTATAAATATGCTGTGTGTCTTTATGCCTCTAACTGCAATATAATGATAGACAGGTCTTCCTTTTCAGACTACCCAACTGCAGAAACTACATGTTTGTTGCAATAGTTTACTTAATTGCACAAAAGATGGACAGGTTTATGTGTAATTTCAATTGGAAACTGTAAATATCCGAGATTAAGCCAAGTCCAAAAACACTAGAGAATTTGTGGAAGTCTGGCTCTCAGACAAAACAGTTATCAACAGGCACGTAGAGATAAAGAACATTTACATACCATTGAAAAGAGACATCAAAAAAAACCCAAAGGAAACAAAAAGACCTTGCCAACAATCAACACCCAGATAAATAGTTATTAACAGCAAGATCAATACCAGACCAACAATCAAGCATAAACAATACCCAATCAAGGAACTTGGGAATATTCAAAGATGACCAATGTAGGAAACATATAAAAATTATACAGTATTAATATTTATATATTACCTTTTGGGATTCATTTTTGCTGATCTCTTCAGAAGAGTTTTCACCTGAATTATTTATTGAAAAAGATACGAAACCTTCAGGCTTCTCCCACGTTGATACTAAGTAATAGCAAAAAAGTTATGTCACCAGTTTCTGAAAATCTGAAATATCAGAAATAAAATCCAACACGTAAAGGCCCTAACATATGTTTCAGTGAGACCAAATTAATAAGATTAAATAAATGTTTTGTTTCACATTTCACTAACCTAAAGAAGTTCTCTTAGATCCCTACTACAATTGCTGGACCCCAATCAAAAATCAATGGTGGACCTCTGTAGCTTCTTTTCTGTTATTTCATGTAGTTTTTACGCTGTCTTTTAAAAACAGAGCCTCAATATATAAAGTAAACGATGCAATAAATGTAGAACATCGATGCCTAAAAGTAAGCAGCAGTGTCAGATGTCAGGTTTTAAGTCTACATATTTGAGAGACAGGGGAAAGTGAACAAATAGTTTATTAAAGAGAACGAATGAAAGGTGGAAGGAAGGAAAGGAAAGGAGAAAAGGGAAGGAAGAGAGAAAAGGAAGGAAAAGGAAGGGAGAAAGGGAAGGAAATAAAGGGAGAAGGGGAGGAAAGGAAAGGGAGGTGAGGAAAGAAAAGAAGGGAGAAAGGGAACGAAAGGAGGGAAGGAAAGGAAAGGAGAAAGAGAAGAAAAGGAAGGAAGGAAGGGAGAAAGGGAAGGAGGAGAAAGGGAGGAAAGGAAAGGGAGGTGAGGAAAGAAAGGAACGGAGAAAGGGAACGAAAGGAGGGAAGAAAAGGAGAAAGAGAAGAAAAGGAAGGAAGGAAGGATGAGAGAAAGGGAAGGAAAAGGAAGAAAGGGAAGGAAAGGAAAGGGAGAAAGGGGAGGAAAGGAAGAAAAGGAAGGGAAGGAAAGGAAGGAAAGGAAAGGAGAAAGAGAAGGAAAGGAGAAAGGGAAGGAAGGGAAGGAAAGGAAGGAAGGAAGGGAGAAAGGAAGGGGAAAAGGGAAGGAAAGGAAGGGAGAGAGGAAAGGAAAAAAAGGGAGAAAGGGAAGGAAAGGAAGGAAGGAAGAATAGGAAAGGAAGGAAAGGAAATGAGAAAGGGAAGGAAAGGAAGGGAGAGAGGAAAGGGAAAAAAGGGAGAAAGGGAAGGAAAGGAAGGAAGGAAGAAAAGGAAAGGAAGGGAGAAAGGGAAGGAAAGGGAGAGAGGAAAGGAAGGAAGGTGAACATTCCTACAAATGATTTCGGGGCATAGGAAGATTGGATGGTCCACATCCATTGGGGGAGCCATTTTGTGAGAGCATTTAGGCAAATTCTCAAAATTCCAAACGTGTTTCATTGCCTTTCTGTTTTACCCACAGGAAAAAACCACTAATTGATGTGGCTCTGTGCCTCGAGTAGCGGCCCGGGTAAAACCTCTCACCTCCAGTCTCCTTGTTGTAGTAATAGGTGCGACCGTTGTCGGTCCCTTCTACCCAAACAGCTTCCTGAAAAAAACAAAGGCTAAATCAACCACGCCATAAAGGATAATTAAAGCCTCATTTATGTCTCATTGTATGCTGATTTTATTTTACCTCCTCAGAGGTCCCATAAAGATATGTTTATTAAGGCTTAACAGCAGTAACTGGGAGAGGGATCTTGGAGTCTTAATGGACAACCAGATAAATAGGAGCCAGCTGTGTGCAGCAGCCGCCAAAAAAGCCAATGCAATCCTAAATTGCATTAATAGAGGGATACAATCAAGATCAAGTGGGGTGCTAATACCATTCTATAAAGCCTTAGTAAGACCACGCCTAGAGTACTGCATCCAGTTTTGGTCACCACATTATAAAAAAGAGGTTGAGACTCTAGAAAAGTGCAGAGAAGAGCAACCAGGATGATTTTAGGGGACTGGAAGCTAAAGCATATGAAGAACGGTTACAGGAACTGGGCCTGGCTAGTCTAGGGAAGAGAAGGACCAGGGGAGACATGATAACAGTCTTCCAATAGTTGAGGGGCTGCCATAGGGAGGAAGGGGTCAAACTATTTTCTAAAGTCCCTGAAGGCCAGACAAGGAATAATGGATGGAAACTGAACAAGGAGAGATTCAACCTGGAAATAAGGAGAAATTATCTGACAGTCAGAACAATCAACCCATGGAACAGAAGTTGCCTTCGGAAGTTGTGGAAGCTTCATCACTGGAGACTTTCAAGAAGAGACTACTGCCATCTGTCAGAAATGGTGTAGGGTCTCCCGCTTGGGTGGGGGGTTGGACTAGATGACCTACAAGGTCCCTTCCAACTCTGATTATCTGTTAAATTTAAAAGTGAAACCTCCTAATTTAGCCACTGGAAGCTTCCTTCCTTCTTGCAAATAATAAAATTCGATTATTGGAGAATCCAACCCAATGGTCCCCCTAACTATTGGAAATAATGCTGTTAAATGAATGTACATGTTAGAGACTTCTGGCTGATAAATGTGTTCTTCAGCTAATTGTATTCCTAATCATATCCTCACATATCAACAACCTCAAATCTGCAGATGATGCCACTCTAATGGCAGAAAGTGAAGAGGAACTAAAGAGACTCTCGATGCGGGCGAAGGAGGAGAGTGCAAAAGTGGGCTTGAGACTCAACATTAGGAAAACTTAAGATCATGGCATCCGGCCCTCTCAATTCCTGGCAAATAGATGGAGCAGAAATGGAAGGAGTGACAGATTTTATTTTCCTGGGCTCCAAAATCACCGCAGATGGGGACTGCAGCCAAGAACTGAAAAGAACTGGGGAGGAAAGCTATGGCAAAGCTAGACAGCCTACTCAAAAGCAGAGACATCCTCCTGCCAACCAAAGTGCGTAGAGTCAAGGCTGTGGTTTTCCCAGTTGCAAGTCATGGCTGTGAAAGTTGGACCGTAAGGAAGACCGAACCCCAAAGAATGGAGGCCTTTGAACTCTGGTGCTGGAGGAGACTCCTGTGAGTCCCTTGGAGTGCAAGGCCATCCAACCGGTCTATCCTAGAGGAGATCAACCCTGACTTCTCTTCAGAAGGCCAGATCCTGAAGTTGAAACTCAAATACTTTGGCTACCTCATGAGAAGGAAGGACTCCCTGGAGAAGAGCCGAATGCTGGGAACGATGGAGGGCAAAAGAAGAAGGGAATGGCAGAGAAGGAGGTGGCTGGATGGAGTGACTGAAGCAGTCGGCGTGAGCTTCAATGGACTCCAGAAGATGGTAGAGGACAGAAAGGCCTGGAGGAACGTTGTCCATGGGGGTCGCGATGGGTCGGACACGACTTCGCAACTAACAACAATCCTATCCATTCAGAAGAGATGCAATTCAACTAATTTTTCAGTGAATTTGAGAATACATTTAAAAAAATGAAGACACATTTTTTGCAACAGCTATAATAATAAATAAGCATTTAGTTACCTGTTGAGAATTGCAAGTGGTGTCCTGAAATCCTTCTGGTTTCTCCCACTGTGATTCTTAATAATAATAGAATAAAAAAAGACTTTAATTTGGGATCCAGCCAGAACAAAAAAAAAAATCATTCATGCAGTATTAGATATAGAATAAGAGAGAGTTGGAAGGGACCTTGGAGGTCTTCTAGTCCAACCCCCTGCCTAGTCAGAAAACCCTACACCACTTCAGATAAATGGTTGTCCAACATCTTCTTAAAAACTTCCAGTGTTGGAGCATTTACAACTTCTGGAGGCAAGTTGTTCCACTGATTCATTGTTCTGTCAGGAAATTTCTCCTTAGAGAATAGCTTGACCCCCTCTTCTTTGTGGCAGCCCCTCAAATATTGGAACACTGCTATCCTGTCTCCCCTAGTCCTTCTTTTCATCAAACTAGACATATCCAGTTCCTGCAACCATTCTTCTTATGTTTCAGCCTCCAATTCCCTAATCATCTTTGTTGCTCTTCTCTGCACTCTTTCTACAGTCCCGACATCTTTTTAACATCGTCGTGATCAAAAGTGACTGCAGTATTCCAAGTGTGGCCTTACCAAGGCCTTATAAAGTGGTATTAACCCTTTAGAAGGCTGTGATCTTGATTCTATCCTTCTGTTTATGCAGCCTAGAACTGTGTTGGCTTTTTTAGCAGTTGCTGCAAACTGCTGGCTCATATTTAATGATTGTCCTCTAGGACTCCCAAGATCCCTCTCATAGTTACTACTATTGAGCGAGGTATGACATATACTGTACGTGTGCATTATTTCTTGCCTAAATGTAGAACCTTACTATTTTTCACCCTTGATTTTCATTTTGTTAGATAAATGTTCAAGTCTGTCAAGATCTTTCTGTATCTTAAGCCTATCTTTTGGAGTGTTGGCTATTCCTGGTAGCTTGGTGATATATAATAAAAGGATATAGAGAGGAAGAATAAATGGCTATTGTAAAAAGAGAAATCTATTGCTAAATATTACTTTTGTGTTGTGTTTTGATGGCAACTTCTATGGTTTCTGGATATGTGATTTATAAAAGGAGTTTAGCTGCAAATGTACCTCCAGATTTCGTGTTGTAATAATAGATGTAGCCTTCCGGAGAAAATCCGCACACCCATTCCTTTGTTCCATTGGATGAAACCTCCTTGGTTTGTTTTTCCTTTCTCTTCTTTTCTTTTTTCTCTTTTTTCTCCTTCTTTTCTTCCTGCTTTATCAGCAAGGAAGGCGTTTCTACAGATTCTGAGATACAGAGCATTACATTTTTAAGGCCCACCTAAGAAATTCTAAGAAAAAAATTCCTCACAGCTAAACAACCCCCACGACCACTGGAATATTGAACACTCGATTTCAAATCTCTGAAGCTCTAGCAAGGTGTGCCAAGTGGAACATGGTATAAATCAACCAACCAAGTTCTTCTAGACCCGTGATGGCGAACCTATGGCACGCGGGCCACAGGTGGCACCCAGAGCCATTTGTGTGGGCATGCGAGCCCTAGCCAAACTTACCTGCACTGCGCATGCTTGCGCCGTCCCATTTGAGGCTGTTTTCGCCCTTCCGTAAATACCAGAAGTGCTGAAACGGGCCCATTTTCAGCCTCCTGAGGCTCCAAAGGCTTCCCTTGAGTCTCCGGGAAGGCAAAAACGGCCTCCCCTGGGCTCCAGAGGCCCTCCGGTATTTCCAGAAGGCCCGTTTTTCAGCCTCCTGAGGCTGCAGAGGCTTCCCTCGAGCCTCCGGGAGGGTGAAAACGGCTTCAAACAGGCCCAAAATCAGCCGGGAGGCGCGTGTATGTGCAGTGCAGGTAAGGGGGCGGGGCGTGGATGCTGTGCACGCATGCGCAGGGTGCATTGCATTGTGGGTGCCGGCATGCCTGCGCCTTTGTGCACACAACAAAAAGGTTTGCCATCACTGTTCTAGACCCATGGATCTTTTCTTAAGACTTAAGTCATGTGTAGCTAGTAAGGGTGCTACCTGCAAATGATACCAAAACTGGAATAGTATCTCAGGTACTCCTCGACTTATGACCACAATTGAGCCCAAAACTTCTGTTGCTAAGTGAGACATTTGTCCACTGAGTTTTGCCCCATTTTACCACCTTTCTTGCCACGTTTGTTAAGTGAATCACTTCAGTTGTTAAGTTACAAGTTTGTTAAGCAAATTGGGCTTCCCTGTTGCCTTGGCTTGTCTGAGGGGATCACGTGACCATAGGACATGGCAACTGTTGTAAGTACATGCCAGTCGTCAAGCATCTGAATTTTGATCCCGTGACCACAAGGAGGCTGCACTGGTCGTTAAGTGTGAAAAACAGTCATAAGTCCTTGTTGTGGCCTATTGGCCACCCCCCCACCAGTCAGATCAGAGGCGGCAGCAGCATGGGAGTCAGCATCAAGGCAACCTGAGAGCTCCGAGGTAGAGAGAGAGAGAGAGAGATGGAGAGGGGGCTGAGGGAGGCAGAGAGAGAAATGGAGCCTGGGTTGTCTGTCAGCCCTCAAATGGAGAGTCAACAGCCCCCAGGTCTGGAGGTGGCTGATGAGGAAGAGGAGGAATAGCTGGGCCCAGTGCCTGGATGCGCAGAAGGCAGAGGAGAGGAGAGCAGTGGAAATCTATGGGCCGGTCCTTGGGACGGAAGAGCCAC